ACCACCACCACCACCACCACTACCACCACCACCACCGATGTATACATAGACACATGTCCAGGAATCAGATCTACATTTACTTGTGCTTTCAACAATTAAGTATGCCTAGCTAATCAGAAAAAACTCTGCTAATCCAAACTTTAGACTGGCCAGAAGAATTTTGATAAAAATTAAATCCAGTTTCAGTGTATTTTCTACACTACAAGTATATATTTTCTATTATAGCACACATTATGTACTTACTAAATTAAACCATGTATACTAGTATATATACTATATTGTATACAGTTGGTATATGCCAAACTCGCTCTGGACGTAATGTTGCTACATCGCTAGCTTACTCGTTATCGTGACTGTCTTTTTTATTAAAATGTACATCAGGGAAACATGACAAAAATTTATGGCAAGTTCATGGCAAAAGTTATAAGGTAGATGTTTGATTGTTTTTCATATTGGCTGCGCGCATTGCATTTTGGGTATTTTCGCATTGCATTCTGGGTCTATCTGTCAGATTAAAATTGAGAATTTTGCCAGCTACACTAATAGCTGCCTTGCTCGCTCCTTGCGGTAGCAATAACCGTTACATGTCGAATTTCCCCCACTAAAATAAAATAACTCCCCCCTTCTGAACCAATATTTTTAGGTGGTCCCCCTTTTTGGTCAAAAAGACCCACCCCCTTTTTTGCCAGCCAACCCCCTGTCATAAATAATGAATGGTCCCTAATAAACTGGTAAACTTGATAGTTGTTGATAAGTCAAAAGAGACTGGGATACGATTGAGGATTTCCGAACTTTTCAGGTTTATCCGTCCAATGGTTTTTGTTTCATATTTATATACCAGGCAGAATCATGTTTTTGGGGCCGCAGCTGTAATTGGCAATATAGCTGTTGTGGTTTCCCAGCCAATGAATGTATAAGTATGATGGCAAAGTAAATAAATAAATAAATTAGACGAGTTTCCTGTCTTAGGCCTTAGGGGCTGTTTTATATAATCGAGATGTCTTCCCTAGCGGAACGAATATTTTCCTGCGTTCACATGGACTTTTTCATCCCGCTTGCCGAGATAAAATTACAATGTTATAGTTCTATCATTAGTGAGTGCAAAACTTCTACATTTTTCTTCTTACTTCTTAGTGTTTTTCTTCATTTTTTTACAAGAAAAAGTATTGCTTTGGCTGCATATTTAAATTTAATACTTGTTTACAAGACAAACATAAAACTAAGTAAAAAAGTGTTAAATTAAACGGCAAAAACCGAATTACGCGGACGGACATATATAGGTCTTCTAATATGAATTCGGCTAATATATGCAACTGATTTGTCGATTTAGGAAAGATCACCTCACCACCTGATGGGACCAGGTTAACTTTTTTACCTGGATCAACTGACAAAATACAGTGGACATTTGATGATGATATATCTTCACTGCGATATCGAAATTATCGTGCTTGGTTTTTCACAAGCAGCAACGGTTCGCGACCACAACGACTTGCAGCAATATATAGTAATGGTGAACCTCAAATATTTAATAGCAGTTTACCTGGGGTTGCAATAGAAAAGCCAGCAACATTGGTTTTAAAAAATATTGACCTCAAAAATAATGGGACTTACCGGTTTGAACTTCGCACTTTTTTTTATCGCTACATCCCTGGGCGCCGTGGGCGTTTTACATCCAATGACGTTGTGGTTTTTGTTGCAGGCAAGTATAGTACCGCCATTCAAAATAATTTTTCATTCAAAATAATTCTGCTTTAATTCAGCAGTCGACAAATAGGATCAAGTTTATGTATTGCTTAATATCATACATCAGCAGAATTTCATAGTCACTGCAAATCAAGACTCTATACCGCCAACCTTGGTATTAAAACTTTCGCGTATATGTTAAAGAAAGGCATAGAGAGAATTTTTAAATATTTTTTGAATTTGTAAGAATATAATAGCCTTTTCCAATTCGTGCACCCAATCTGATGAAGTCTCAAATATGGCTCAAATGAATAAACAATTATGTGTTTGCATGATTACTGTACATTAAGTAATATTTGAAATCCGACTATGGGGACTGGATCAAAATGCGAGGACTTGAAATCTAGTCCAGTCAGAGTTGGAGGATTTGGAATGACATCTCATACGAATAAATCTCTACTCAAAGTGAGGTGAATTAATTTTGATCCAGTCCAAGGACTGAATTAATTTTGATCCAGCCCTAGGACTGTAACAATATACTTCACTAGGTATCCAATATTATCATGTGAGCAAAATAAAGTAATATGGCTGGCTAATTTACTCATGCATTATTAATGAGTTTGAAGTTTTTATTTCAGTTACGCCAACTGTGACATTGAGTTGTTCCAGTCCTGTCACAGTAAATGAAGGTGATAACTTCACATGTGTATGTAGAAGTGAAGGTGGAAACCCTCCAGCCAATGTAACTTGGTATGATAAAGATGGCGTCCAGATTGGTGGAACAGGAAAAGAAGAGCAAACATTAACTCTCAGTAATGTTGATGGAAGAGATAGTGGAACATACAAGTGTATGGCCCAAAGTCGCATCAATGCAACGGATGAAAAACCAATCGAAGTAAGACTTAATTGTAAGTATGATATTGATGCTCTCCTATTAGACATAATGTTTCAAGCATTGTAACTTAACAAGCATTGTAACTAGAATGTTAAAATATTAAATCAGAAATCTTTTCCCTTGTAGTCTCTCCTCAATGCCCATTAAAGGGATTCACTTTTGAACGAGGTTGGCCGGATGCACCAGACATCAAAACCACCGGATTGTGAGATAGTTTCATCCGGTATCCGGCCTAATCGATGCCGGATACTATTTGTACATTGTATATAATATTTAGGTCGTACACATTGTTGCATGGCCTGTTTCCACCATTTTTGATCGAGGTTTTGTTTCTTTACAGTGAAACCTAGCAAGACAGCCATCACGTTTACACCTGAAAAAGTCGTAGTTGGTAAATCAGTTGCCATAACATGTGAATCTAATGGTTTTCCTGAACCAAGTTATACCATAGTCCATAATGACACTGAGATCAGTAACGAGAAGACGCATACCGTATCTGAAGTGGAGTGACGCTGGGTCATACCAATGTGTTGCAATCAATAAACTTGGACGTCATTCAAAGAGCTATTGTTTGACCGTCGTAGGTAAGTAGGTTCTTTGCCAGGTAAATATCCTGTATCATCCAAATAAGGGCCAGTGCTACTAATATCGTTATACAAGGCTTGGCCTATAGGTTTTCTTTAGATTTAATAATACTAATGCCTATAGCGAGGACTATAAATATGTTAAAGAATCAACACAGCATCAAAATGCCATTATAGCATCATTTCAATGCCTGTTTCCCGATGTTTCTGATATTCTGTGTTTAGGAGAGACTGCAGCTTCTACTGAGCCTAGCAAAGTTGATAGTAAGAGCAGTGCAGGAACTGTTGTAGTATGGCATGTCGTGGTATCTTTGGTGTCTGGAATTATCATTGGCATTCTCTTTTCCTACATTGTATTTGTATTGTATTCTCGTCGTCGTTGGTGTAGGAACAGAAAACCTGAACGAAACCCTGACGATCCGAAAACTGAAGCTGATACAACCTACCAAGCCCTGGATCTTACAAAAATGAACACAAATCTAGAAAATAATTATCAATCGTTGCAAGTGAATGACGCATCAAATTACGAGAACGTTACTTGGCCGCATTGAATAAGATTTGAGTTGAAAACGCTTATGATTTATTGGCTAGTTTAAAAATTTAAAGTTTGTGAGTTTACGGTAACCAGTTATAATATCAGTCATGGTGTCGCTTGCTATTCTTGTTTTAATAAATGAATGTAAAGCCCAGTCGAATTGCATTCACAACCCAACGATTCGACACTCCATTCTAGTGTCTTCATCAGGGGTGATTCTTATGTACCTATCGGATGACATCATCTGCCAACAAGATGGATATATTCTTGTCATTGCCACTAACAATCGCAATGGCTAAAGATGTTGCCTGGAAGCGTGGCATATAAATATGAGTAATTGCTTATTTGCCAAAAGAGCATATCATGTCGTTGGCAGATGACGTCACCCCACGGGTATATACATATTAAGAAGCCACGTTACGACTTCAGATGATCCCCAGCTGAAGAAGACACTAGACTGGAGTGTGGAAATCAGTTGGGCGTGAATGCAATTCGACTGGGCTTTGCACTCATTTATTAAAACCAGAGTAGCGAGCGAAAACAAGACTGAGTTTAAAAATTGATTTAATTAATAATTATTTTTATTCGGTAAAGAAATTAGCCTGTGTGCCAGCACTATGGTGGGAAGGGAAGTCGAAAAACGCAAGCTAATAAAGGAATGTATACTATAACATGTAACTTAATGCTTCTAGCAAAATATTTGTGAAAACAAACTTGTTGTAATTGTGTAATCATTACTTTCTCGCCGATACAAATTGTTTAGCTGATATATACAACATATCAAGGGCTTGATCTTTCAAAAATGGATGCAGAAGATAATTACCAATATTGAATGCTGCAAGCAATGACGAGGAGTCGGCATATACCGAGTTAAACAAGACCAGAAATAATTAAAGAAAACAAGTACCAATCCTTAACTTGAACTTGGAATATTAAATCATCATAAGTGTTCAATTTTTAATTTGAAGTTGGAATATCAAATCATGAGTGTTCAATCTTTAATTTGAACCTGGAATATTAAATCATGCCGGAGTGTTCAATCTTTAATGTCTTTAATTTGAACCTGGAATATTAAATCATGAGTGTTTAATCTTTAATTTGATCCTGGAATATTAAATCATGAACGTTTAAAGTGGAAGTCAAGTCCGTTCTGCGTCTCATGTATTAAACATTGCCCAAATTTCGAATGTTTCGAATTTTTCTGAACATAAGATCTATTAGTATCTATTTCATATTCATTTAGAAGCATAGCGAACCAAAATGGTGTTAGATATTCAGACAGTACATCATCTTCTAAAAAATACAGCAGTTCAAAATGTAAACAAACCGTTCAGTTGTTTACATTACGGACTTGACTTCCACTTTAATCTTAAATCATGAGTGTTCAATCTTTAATTTGAACCTGGAATATATTAAATTATGAGTATCAGGGCCTTGATGACCATAGTCTAAAGAATAAAGAACAGAAGTGCTGGCGAAACTCGACTGTACAACAGAACTCATTACTGATTTCTGTTGGTTTACATCAGTTTAAGCCCCGTTCAAACGAGTTGGATTGGGTTGGTTTCAAAAAAGTTGGATTGGGTTGACTTAAAATTTTCATCCACAATTCAGCCAACCCAATATATCCAACATCTTCCAACATTAGCATGCTGGCCTTGTCAGGGCCTTTTTTAACTATATACGTGGGGGGGCCAAGGCCCCACCACCCGCTCCTTTGGCCCCCCCACTGATGGGTTTTGGCCCCCCCCACTGATGGGTTTTGGCCCCCCACTAAATTGTCATGTTGTTACTTTAGCACATAGCATAAAATAAAAATGGAAAAATTTTGTTAGGTTTCGAAAAAATTGATTATATTGATTATTGGCGACGGGGGGGGGGGGAGGTCCCCCAAATAATGGTTTACACTGGTCGTAATTCAGCGGCGATATATTAATTGTACAGTAGTCGAGGGGTAGATTACTCTGAAAAAAGCGTACGAAGATTTTTGGGATTAGAAAATCCCGGCAATTTTTCTCGGGATTCTGGGATTTTTCCCCCAAATTTAAGGGATTTTGGGTTTTTTCAGCTGATTTTTTCGAAATATTTCCATTATTTTTTTTCGCCGAACTTTTTCCGACATTTTTTGCGAGACATAATCCGTCGAATTATTTTTAAAATGAAATAAATCAACGAAGGGGATTTTCACGCCAATTCACGATTTAAATGTTTAAATTTGATGGGGTTTCTCAATATTGCAATAATTTTGAGGATTTTCAGTATTGGGCTTTTTCCAAGTATTTTATGCAATTTTTAGAGAATTCTTGGGATTCTGGGGTTTAGTGAGATTTTGGGAGTAATTTTACCCCTCGTTGTATCTTTTCCGACAGACAAAGCCGTTTACACACCAATGACCACAGACAATGCCAATGGCAATCTCCGATTCTTTACAGTGTGTATAAAAAAAACTGAACCCTTTCAAATTCAAATTAGGTATAACGTATTGACGGTATTGTAGTAATTTGACAGCTTTGAATTAATGGTTGGGTAAGAGCACAAGGTCACAGAATAAGGCACACAGAAGGGCACCCTGGCAGCCATCTTCCTAGCCAGTCGATTACATTTTCTGGCCAATAAACGCGCTGTATTGGCTGGAGGCCCCGCCTTCTGGCCAGTCAATTGCACATTTTTGCATAGAAAAATGGCGACACGTTGCACCGCTGAGTGGCCCTTCTGGTACTGATCTTTATTCTGTGACAAGGTCTTGTACTCACGGGACAAAACTCAAAGAAATAAAAATTAGAAAATTTAAAAGAAACACAGTATTTCTTTTAAATATTCTAATTTTTATTTCTTTGAGTTTTGTCTCGTGAGTACAAGAGCTTGTGTTCTTACCAAACCATTAATTCAAAGCAATTGGAGCTGTCAAATTAGTGAATTACTGCAATAATTATAGCTAATATTTGAATTTGAAAGGTTCAGGTTTTTTTATACACACTGTCACTGTATAGTGAGTTAATTGTGTGCGTACTGTTCTGTCACCGATTCATAAACAGCTACTGTATAGATAAACATCTGTTCGAAATGTTTACTTGAAAGCCACCCTGGTTTATTTCACAATGGGCTCCATATTCAGATATTTTTTTCTGGGGTAGTGTTAGTTTCCGGACCGGCAGATCCCCTATTGGTTCTATGGAATGTGATAGTGTTCGCAACACAAATTATCATGCAAAGCGTCGTGAAAGTAGATCTTAATGAATTCACTAGTATAGACTTCAGAAATCTATGGACCTTTCTGATAACGACAGAAAACCAATCTATGCGATGTCCCATCGGACAATGTAAGTCGTTGGCGAGCCAATAATTTTATAGAAACCTTATTTGCATTGTGAATTGTCGCTAAAACTGATTGTCCTTGACCTCATAAGAAAGGTCTATTCACAGGAGGCAGACAGTGGGTCTATAATATTTGCATACAATTTCCGATCGAATTTGAAAAACGAAAGAACTTTACATCACACAAGCAGTATATAGTGTTTGGTGCTTTTTTTTTACAGAAATACTATGTTTTTGCAGGTATAGTATAACTATCCAATATTTGTTGTAACGGACTATACTGGTAATTGTTCATTACCATCAGTCCATCACTGACACTGTATCAAGATATCCGGTAGAAAATTCAATTAAATTGTGTAAATTTATCATCGAAAGATTTACTTACTATAAAAAGTCATATTTAACAATTATTCGCGAAGGCGAGGTGATTAGAGACCTTACGATTTTAGGACGGCAACGGCTACCAATACAATACATCATTGAAAAGAATTGAGTAATTACAATATATGAATAACTTAGACATCGTCCTCGCTCTGTTTACAACGCCAACGGCTGCATTCCAAGCCGCAACAAATGTAACTTCAAACTGGGTTTAGCAGAACTCTTCCCAATCATAAAACCCATGTCTTCAACTTCTAAAACTATATTAAATTCATACGATTGATAATATACCACGAACTATCTTTACTACCATTTATTTGAAGGAGTTTGTTTTGGCCGTCGCCGTCGCGTTGCCGTCGTAAAATCGTAAGGTCTCTAATATCGGGGAATATTCGCCGAGACGAAGTCGAGGTGAATATTCCCCGATAATCACCGAGCCTGAGGCGAATAATTGTTTTAGTATTTTTACGCAATCTTTTGTGTTTTTTGGGACTGAATTTATTTTAATTTCCCTTATTTCTTTATTAGTAACTTCCACAAAACGGCTAGCCGCCATTTTGAAAATTTCGGTTTTGTTATATTCACCTGTATTCACATTTGACCAATCAACTTGTAGGATTTGTTATATTCACTTGTGCAAAAATACTAATACTTTATATTGTCTGTTTTGATGTAGTTTTCACTTTCACAAGATGACAAGCTGTGTATTTGGAATGGCCATTTTATTTGCTCTAAATTTGCTGCCATTTCCGTCATGTGAGGGTATGTGTTAAACTGAAGAGTCAGTGAGGGTTGGGATAAAACGCGGAAGCGGAATGCGGATTGCGGAAGCGGATTCCGTAAGCGGATTCCGCAAATGAGGATAAAAAGGGGATTCCGGAAGCGGATTCCGCAAATGAGGATAAAACGCGGATTCCGCAAATGAGGATAAAACGCCGAATTGCGTAAAAAAGGACGAGAAGCAGAATAGCGTATAAAAAGCCTAAATTGGGCTTCTCATGGGTATTTTAAAATGATTAACTTAAATAAATTAATTAGACTGTCTACAAGAAATTACAAGCATTTGTAACTACATTGCAGAACAAACTTTAGTCAGTGGCGTAACTATTATGGGTTCAGACCGGGTGAACCCGGGGGCCCCCAACCCCAATGGACCAAATGGGGGCCCCAGGCTGTAGAGCAAAAACATTGGCCAGGGAGGCCTCTGATATGTTACAATGTCGTTTTCTGACCATCAGAATTCTGTAAAATCTCTCCCCAAAGTCCAGGAAATGGCATTTCAGAGACTCTATATTTAAAATTTTTCCCGGTGATCATTAG